ATCTGGTCCAGTCTGACATGATTGAGACCCAGGAACTGCTGACTGCTGTCAAACATAAGGCCCGGAGGCCAGAACTGGCAAGGCAAAAGAGTCCAATCTGGCTCACAGCATAGCTTTGGAATACATGACAAAGGGCGTAAACTTTGGACTTTTATTTGCCTCCGAAATAAAAACTACACCGGAGTAACTGAGCACGAAAAAGTTTTTGTTTTTAAAAGGAACGGAGATGAGATGTAAACAAACAAAAATCTTGTGTTTTACTTTTTAAATAAAGTTTTCTGCATACGTATTTCTTACAGTTGTGCAGTTCCTGCAGCCGCGGTTCTTCATCATGTAGAAAGTCATGCTTTTTCTGAGACTCTGACAGAAGGGGCGGTTATAGCGCTCGCTCCTCGAGGCTACAGTCCAAATGAAGTGAGCCGGTCTGGCTTACTGAGGATCAGAGTGGACTCTAATGGCTCATTGTGGGAAACAAGTTCCTGCTCAAGGTTAATAAACTAAGCTTCGGTGCAGTCGTTTAAAGAGCCCGCGACCTCTGAAGCGTTTCTACACTATTTAGAACCTCGTATTATTAAAGAAGATGTTTTGTTGCTTTGCAGACGACACTCACAGCTTCTTCCTCAGACTTCAGACATGTTAGAAACCTGTTTTAAGAATGAAAAGTGGAAGCTGAAGCTTACAGTGGTATGTGACGCAGCAGAGTGCCGATGCACATCTTCATCTCCAGTCCCAAAGCAGAGGCTCTTCTTCTCATGTTTGTGGCTTTTTGGCATTTCTAATGTGATCAAACGGCAACAAACGAGATGTGGCCTTCAGGTAATCAATGTGAGACACAGCAACATAACAGCATCGACTGTAAGGAACACGGCCAAGTCGTGTAGCATTCCCACCGCTGCCACTCAGAGGCTCGCTGATCCCCAGCAGCAGTTGCAGCTACGCTGAGTTCCTGCGCTTTCCCGCCATCGCTCTACTAAATTAGAATAGAGTGCTCACTTCAAAAGAAATCTGCCTGCGCTGAAATGAACTGACCTTTCGTGCAGGAGTGCAAGTCAGAGTGACGCTCAGCAGAGTGAGAGGGAGAGTTTGCTCAAGGCCGTCCACTTTTAACTCTAATCTGCCCGAGAGCTCACGCGGAAGCACGCGAGACTTGGCTGGCCAGCAGCTCTAAGAGCGCCAAACACATTTGGCACATCAGTCAAAATCACTTCCTGTGACATTTTCCATCTTTGACCGATCACACTGCAGACAGATGGCTGCAAATGTAAAAACAGCAAAGAGCGAGCGTTTTGAAGACTGAGACGCAAGTCTGAAGGTGACTCATCTCTGCTCTCCTCGAGTATCAAAATTTAAGGCCGACTTTCTTTGTTTTCAAACCGTTTAAACCACTTTAGAAGAGCAATGCAGCACCTCTGTATAATCACACACTACACACATCAGTCACTAAAATACAGAATACAGCAGGAGACAGTCTCAGAGGCATCCTCAGAGCATCTACAGACAACAGCGTGCTGCCCCAGTCTCATCTCGTATTTACATTCAAAAGCTAAAGTAATCTCCTGCTCACACATGTGCACGCAGTAGAAGCACCGTCCCTGCTGCAGCCCCTCCTCCTTTATCACAGCATCCAGCAGAGAATCTCACCGGACGCTCGAGTGTTTTGATTTCTCCTCCTGTTGCTGAGCGTGGCCACACTCATAGGACAAACGAGCTGCAGACAGCCGGTGCGCGCGCACGCCTTTATTAGCTTATCGGGATGTGTGTGCAGAAACCGACAGAGCGAGGCAAATTCCATCTGCATAATTCAGAGGCAATGAAGTAAATGAAGTAAATGAAGATCAACAGTGAGGCGTCATTCATGTGGAGAGCAGCGAGGATGACCTGAGAGCAGGAAACTGTATTCATCTTAAACAATCCGATAAAGCGCCCACGTTACAAAGACCTGAGGCTCCTCCCATGACCAGCGTTTCCATCAAATTAACATCTCCACATGTGACGCCTCTACAGACAGTGAAGCCTGCTGGATTTATGAGTTACCTGCTGCACTACAGCAGTGATGTTCGTGGATTCTCCATGTGCCGTTCTTCCAGATGTTTAAGTTTCTCTAACAGCAAGCAGGAAGCTCATCTCAGCTGTCACGCATTTTCATTATTTTTTAAATAATGGAGCCTTTTAATGATTCTCTCCCATCATTACAGGAGATGATCATACAACAGGTCAGAGGTCCATTTTTACCTGATACCAGGATCACCTTCTACCCCGATTCCTCCTGGGTACAGTTCTGCAGTACTTTTAGAGTCACCTTTAGAGTCCGTGTGGAGAGCACACCTGAGCATCACACTTTTTTTAACATAACAGACTCAAGAGGGCTCAGTCTTATTGTTGGATGCAGAAACTGTATTTATTGATTACTTTAATGGCCGTTATAAATATGAAAATGATCAGTCTGTACTTCAGTGAAGATTCATCATCATCCAGTGTCCTGATCCTAACCTTGAAGCCGGCAGATGTTGAGCAGCTGATGGAGGAGACCAACAATAAACAGCTGGTAGTTGACGTTAACTACCAGTTAAGCAGCAGGGAGAGAAAGTCTGTTTCTGTGCTTCCAGTCTGTAAGGTCTGTGAAAGGATAAATACACCCCCACTTTCAAGAACTACTCTGCCTTTAATGTAAATATAATGATCCCTCAATAGGTGGAAGTGTGCCCCCTGCTGACTTCAGCGTGACTCAGCAGCGGTGCACACAATCAGGCACGAGCCTGCAACACAGAGAATGAGCGGTCATGGCCAGATGAGAATCGATTGCAATTGGAGGACTACTGTAGCTATAAATAGCCTGGCGGGGCTATTACGGGGAACTGTTGGCTACTGCTGGAAACCCGGAGGAGGGAGAGGATCAGGCGAGGGAACGCATGTGAGACACGTGGCTTTGTTGTCCCTTCACTCGTCACCTCAGAGGGAGACCAGACAGGATGTGTTTATCAGCTAAAGCTGCACCCACAGTTGGTCAGTGCTAAGAATCATCCAATCATAATCCTAAAACAGGCACTCAGATGTCCTGGGCGGTACCGTAACCTTAGAGCAGCCATATTATTGGTCAGATAATGTCATTAAAAGCACAAACGCGTGTCCCAGATGTCCAGTCCAGGGACTCCAGTTAGCTGAGGTGAAGCCTAGCAGACAGCTAGCAACTACAGCCACCTGTGGTGCCATCCACCTGTCAGTCAAAGAGGCCCTGTACAGCTGTTGTGAGGGTGAAATTATCTACAGAGACCAAAACAGTCTGTACCAGCCTGTAAGCATGTTTCTTTTAACACGGGAGTCTATGGGGAGTGGCTCATTGCTGCCTCTGCTGGACACCAGAGGAACTGCAGCCAAACTTTTCCTTGTGAACATTTTTAGATTTTTATTTAGTCCAGGAGTTAAAACAACAACAACAACACAAAAGATCCAGAGCTCACAGTCTCAGTGAGCTCCTTGTGTGCAGGTTCATTCACACAACAAGTACAAATGAGTCTTTTTCATGTATGTCTGCTGTTTTTTAAATCCTCTCTAATTCATTAGAAACACAAACAGGGATGTTCCAGGTACTGTGGACTCTCTGCATCTGTGGAAGTACCTGGAACTGATTAGCCACATAGGGGCTCGAGTCAATAGTTCCACAGGAACCAGAACCAAGTCCAGGTAATCAGCTGAAACGACTGTTACTGACGGGATTAAAGAGCAAAACTCAGCAGCAGCGACCTTCTAATGGGACGCTTCTGTTACTATGTCTAAGAGTAAATTACTCTGCTGCCCCTTTTAGCTCCACTTTAGATAAAAGCACAAAGACAAGAGAGGAGCAGATTGTACACGTGCTGTTTGCCTCATTACGGCTTGTTAAAGAGCCTCATTTGTCAGCGGGGCCTTGGCTGTGGTGCAGACTCAGTTTTCTTTGCAGAAATAAGCCTAATAAAAATACAATAAAGGAGGCGCCTCACAGAAGTACACTCAGGAGCAGCCACACCGCTCGCTCTGCTCTCCTGCGTCAGTACACACCACTAACACGGGCCGGATTGCTGATGGCAACTCCAAAAGCAGACCTTTCATCTGCTGTTAAAGATACACGACAATTTCACATCAACCTAAAGCCATGCTGCTCTGTGAAGCTCTGCAGTCTGAAGACTACAGAGAACAGAATCAAAGAGGTTGAACACAGAAACAAGCATTCCCACACCAGACCCAGGATGCTCCTCCTGCCTGGATTGGCTCGCCCAGAGTCATCCTGGTCTGATACCTCCTGGGGGAAGAGCTCAGAGGAAGACCTCGCAACCCCAGATGGGGTTTGGTGACAGTCACGACAGTTAAACGGTGAGAAAGGGAAAGTACCAAACTGCTTATAACAGATCAGGGTCTTTGGTCTGGGTTTGTTCTCTAAAGAACAAACGCAGAAATTAGATTTCTTTAAATTGATTCCCTGCACAAGCAGTAGCTGAGATGATGCTGAAAGTGTTTAAAAACCACGACTCTGCTCAGAGCTCACATTAGAAACGCATGAAGGAAAATCTGAGCAGAGGAGTGGAAATCAGCCCATGCTGTGACTCAATGTGCAGAATAAACATACAGCGGATATAGTGGTGGGTCGTGTGATTAGGTAGAGGAAGGGTCCATGACCCTCTTGGGGACACCTCAAATCTGGGAGTTTCCACCAATTGTCCAGATGCTTTTCTTTCCAAGCTTCTTGGATGACAATGACCTGGATGAGTGAGAACCTTCACGAACATACAGCAGACACTTTAACCCACATGTCTGAGAATTGATGCATAAATAACAGTAAGAGGACGAGTTTCTTTGTAAATCCCGTGACAGCATAAAGTCGATCGTGCGTGCTGACACGCGTGCCATTTATATTCATACATAAGAAGGCTCGGCTCTCGGTCTGAAACACGTTGCAGTTGAGCCTGACATCGTGTGCAGATTTAACAGCCCGCCGCCCGACACACCGCAGACCCGCTCGTACTTACACGTGAAGATGACCATGACAGCACGCAGCAGTAGGTCGATGGCGGTGTCCCACTGATCTGGCACGCAAGCTACCATGGATGGTATGAGGATTTCTGCTGGGACATAGAACTGCAGGGCGAAGGTGATGAAGATCCCGAAGCAGTACAGGAGCTTCACGACCTGGTACATCCTGGAAAATGGGGAGGAAGGAGTGGAAGGAGTCAATTAATGTGTGGAAAAATGTGACCTATCCCGCTTATTTTTACTCCTAGATTCTCCTAGAGTAGCTTTGCATGACTCATAGTTCAAAATAATGCTATGTTTTAAACAAGCCATTTCGCCTCCCCACTCTTTGAGTGAAGTTTCTTCTGATTGGCTGCCACTCACCTACAGACAGTTTAAAGAGCAGGTAGGTGGAGCTGGAGAGGATTTCCACTCTCACCAAGGCAGAGAAAAACCCTTTGAGGTTGAGTGTTTATTTCCTCAGTGTCCGGCTGGAGAGAGGGGGTAGCTTGTGTGCCCCTGAGCCAGATAAGAGCCATAAAACTGATTTAAAACCTGATGCAGCTGTCACTCTGATCTCAGCATGCTCTGCACTTTTGGAGACTCAGTCAATCCACCACCGCTAGAGCTTGTGGAACATGTGAGCACAGAGCCAGGAAACTGAAGGAGAAACCAGTAACAGCAGCTCTCACCTGGACTTACTAAAGTAATGTAAACACATTCAGATCCATGGCTTCCAGATTCATTCATCATGCAGTGTCCGCAGGTTTCCTGATGCAAATACAACAAGCTGTGGATGTGAAGCATCAGCTCTGAGTATCTATCTATTAGGGGTGCAACAATACACAAAATTCACGGTTCAGTTCGGTTCGATACTTTGGTGTCATGGTTCGATATTTTTTCGATACAAAAAAAAAAAAAAAAAAAAAAAAAAAAATGTTCATGCCTTTTTAATTTGTCATTTATTAAAATTATAAATATATATTTTAACTCAAATGTACAGTTTTTAAATTTAATGCTGCTGTTACAACAAAGTAATAAAAAAAATAAATATATCTGATTGAGGAATCGCTCATCTTTGGAAAACAGAGTTTATTACAGAGAAATGTCTCTTTCCAAAATAAAAGCTATACTATACGCTTCTTCTGGGCTATATTCTCAGCAGCATATTAAACAGATCAGGCACCCATAAGGAGAATCATGTGCTAACGGCTGTCTAAATGACTCGGGTAAAGTTTGTAGCATGCGTGCCTGTTGTTTTTGTCTGCTTCCACTTGTCTTTGCACTAGGATGATGTCGGAGTAAATGTGCACGGCCAACACGTTAACGAGCTAACTGCGCTAACACACTAGTTCCCACCAATGTAATTGAGCATTGCGTGGCACATCCAACATACGGTTTTACTTTAGTCCATGATGCGCTTACCTTCAGGGTCATACGTCACATGAAAACCAAAATAGTTCCAAACGCCAGATCTGAATGAGGGTGGGGGAGGTTCAATTTGCCATGTTGCAAGGAGAGCTTAACTTCTGTCTCGCTAGCTTGCCCTGCGTTCAGTGAATCTGCGTTCGACTACTCCGCCTAGGCTGCACTGTCGAGCGCAGATCCACTGAGCACTCAACACAGACAGCATCATCAGAAGGAAAGTTGAACACTCCAGCTGGCTGGAGTGTACACACACACACACACACACACACACACACACACACACACACACACACACACACACACACACACACACACCTACCTTCAACCTTTCCCTCTCTCTGTCTGTAGTCCCAGCCTGCTTCAAAATGGCCACCATCGTCCCTGTACCCAAATCCTCCACCATCTCCTCATTGAACGACTGGCGACCTGTAGCCCTGACCCCCATCGTAAGCAAATGCTTCGAGAAGCTGGTCAGGGACTTCATCTGCTCTGCACTACCCGACTCACTGGACCCTCTACAGTTTGCATACCGCCACAACAGGTCCACTGATGATGCCATAGCCCTGACACTACACACTGCCCTGTCACACCTGGAGAAGAGAGACACGTATGTGAGAATGCTGTTTGTAGATTACAGCTCAGCATTCAATACCATCGTTCCCTCGAAGCTGGACAGGAAACTGCAGGATCTAGGACTGAGCAGCTCCCTCTGCAGCTGGATCCTTAGCTTCCTGTCTGACAGACGCCAGGTGGTCAGACTGGGCAGCATCACCTCATCCCCCATCACACTGAACACTGGTGCTCCACAGGGGTGTGTACTGAGCCCTCTCCTGTACTCACTCTACACCTACGACTGCACGGCCACTAACAGCTCCAACATCATTGTGAAGTTTGCGGACGACACTACAGTGGTGGGTCTTATCACCAACGGTGATGAGACGGCTTACAGGGAGCAGGTCAGCGCCCTGACCCACTGGTGTCAAGACAACCATCTCACCCTCAACGTCGCAAAGACAAAGGAGTTGATAGTGGACTTCCGGAGGTGCAGAGAAGTACACACCCCCATCACCATCAACGGCGCTGCTGTGGAGAGAGTGAGCAGCTTCCGGTTCCTTGGAGTACATCTGGCTGAGGATCTTACGTGGTCAGTACACACAAACAAAACAGTGAAGAAGGCGCAGCAGCGCCTCTTCTTTCTCAGGAGACTGAAAAGATTCGGCATGAGCCCCCGCATCCTCAGGACCTTCTATCACTGTGCCATTGAGAGCATCCTCACTGGATGCATCACCACCTGGTATGGCAACAGCACCGCCTACAACTGCAAAGCTCTCCAGCGAGTAGTGCGGTGCTCTGAACGGATAATTGGAGGTGAGCTTCCCTCCCTCCAAGACATCTACAGGAAGCGGTGCCTGAGGAAAGCGGGGAGGATCATCAAGGACTCCAGTCACCCCAGCCATAAACTGTTCAGACTGCTTCCATCAGGAAGGAGGTTCTGCAGCATCCGGTCCCGTACCAGCAGACTGAGAGACAGCTTTTTCCATCAGGCCATCAGACTGCTGAACACTTCATAGACACCTCAGCTTCACTACTGGAACTTCAACATTATGCACTCCACACTGTATATAAATGCCACTTGTTTTGCACATATTCAACTCTGTATATTTTATATATTTTATTATTATTATTATTTTATTTTTTTTATTTAATTTGTAAAAATGTGCACACACACACACACACACACACACACACACACACACACACACACACGAAAATATTTAGTATACACATCCAGAAATGCATACACTATTATATATTGTACATATATTTATTAGTTTCAGGTTGGCCATTCTTGTATTTTGCTCGTTTGTGTTGTTGTGTTTGCACATCTCTGTTGCTTGTGGGGCTCGCACACAAGAATTTCACTCGCATGTGCTGTGCCAGTGTGCCTGCACATGTGATGTGACAATAAAAGTGATTTGATTTGATTTTGATTTGATAAAATAAATTAAAAAAATTTTATTGTTCGATACATATGCGTACCGAACCGAAAGCACTGTATCGAACGGTTCAATATTGATACGAGTATCGTTGCACCCCTACTATCTATGGGTCTAAAACACAGTAAAACAGGTTTTAATATTTTAATGAGACACTGGGTCCCAATCCTGCCACCTTTCTTCTAAACAATGAAGATTTAAGTCTCTTTGCTCTTCGGCACATCACATCTGCTGAGTCTGGACGTACCACACTGTGCTTCAGTTTAGTTTAGGAGGTTTGGACTTGTGTATTGAGACGCACCTGCACCACAAACACACACAATAGTTTGTGTTCCTGGAGGTTTGAGGCAGTGACACACAGTGTTGGGGAGTAACGGAATACATGTACCGCCGTTACGTATTTAAAATACAAAATATGAGTAACTGTATTCCGTTACAGTTACCATTTAAAAAGGTGGTATTCAGAATACAGTTACTTTGTTGAAATAAATGGATTACACTGCGGTACTTTCCTGTTTCATTTTGTCGCGGGTCAGGACTGTTTGGGTTTTGTTTGACAGCTACGTGCTGTTGTTCCAGGCGGCAGCGTTACGGTTGCCATGGTTACAGGGCGACGCTCTCTCTCTCTCTGCGACTGTGTGTTTCCTGGGTGAGAGAGCGCCTTTTCGTTGTTGTTGTTGTGCTAAGCTAATAGGCAGAATGCTACAAGCATAGCTCTAAAGAATGTAGCATCATGGGCAGTGTCTGTGAGCGCGAGGAGGGAGAAAAAGGGGAGTGGAAAGGTACAAGTTGTCATCGAGGAAAAACGGGAGCTGGAAGCATGTAAATATAATAATAACAACCACTTCAGCCAAAAAGAGTGCCTGATGAGCCCAGTTGTAAGTAAGCTATTAAGACTCGACTGTACACCGTGTTCATGTTTTCCTCCGAAAACAATAAGTTCCGTTGGAGCAGTCTTTCGACACCTCTCTCTGTGTCTCGCAAGAAAAGGTGACCCACACAACAAAGTAAAGCTATTTTTCGGCTACGAGCTGACACGGACCCCGCCGTATTAGTCTGAGGTCCCTTTACTACAGTTCGGAGTCGCGGACCTTCAGTAATAGTAATAAATCACACAGCAATAGTACATTCACGTTGTTGTAAAAAGCATGATAATATATTAAGTAATCCAAAGTATTCAGAATACGTTACTGTCATTGAGTAACGTAACGGAATACGTTACAGAATACATTTTGGGGCATGTATTCTGTATTTTGTAATGGAATACATTTTAAAAGTAACCTTCCCAACACTGGTGACACAACAGGAGGAGATGTGCTTGGGTGGAGTCATCTGAGTGCACAGCTGACTCCACCCATCCTGTGGTGTCTTATGTGATTCTCTGAGTGCTGTAGGACATTAACCAGCACAAATGTTTTTAAACATGCCGACTCGACTCGATTTCTAATCCTGAGCGTTGTGGCGGTATCTCACCAGCAGTTAGGTAGGTTCAGTGTGATGCTGCCGCCGATGTGCTCTCCAAAGCACATGTATCCTATGGTTCCCAGGCTGATGTAGAGGAAGGTGACGATGCCCATGCCCAAATAGAGAACCTGGGTGAACCTCTGTGGCCTCTGCATCTTGTTCTCCAGGGGCAGAACCTGCAGAGAGAAACTCTGTTAGCGGGACATTTCAGTGACACGTGAAGGCTCAGTGGTGTCTGCTCACACTGATGCCCTGAAAGCTCGCCTTCGCCAGGAAGCTTTGCTTTTTTATAAACCAGATTTAACTGAATTAAATGGAGCTTTTGGAAAATGTAGCTTATCAGCCAGGCTTCATCATTATAAAGACAAGCTTCTCTGCATGGACAGGAAAAAGGCCAACTCTGAAACACACGTGTCTGCAGGGCAGATGTTAGCGAGAGTCATACGATGCTTTGAAAAATGTCAAAATGAGGCAAATGTTCTTAAATAAACATCAATAAAGTGAAATAATAACATATCAATAATGTATCTGTAATGAGTAATTGTGACATTAACACTGGGTTACACACCGTGTGTGCTTCAATGGTCACCGGTGAGCGGCGGTGGACTTTAAACGCTCTGAAATCGGACGACTGATTTTGACTCACGTTGTGCTTCATACTGTGAATACCTTCCAGCTCTGAGCGTACACAAGAGTGGGTGCAAATCTGGCACTTTAAAAAAAAAAAAATATATATATTTTTTGGCCTTTTTCTGTCTTCGACAGATACAGAGAAGACTGACCGGAAAGCGGAGGGAAACATGCGGCAAAGGGCCGCGGGTTGGACTCGAACCCGAGCCGGCCGCTCTCAGTCATGCGGCATATGGTCGCCTGCTCATCCAAATATGGCACTTTTTAATTCAAATATGACAGTATTAGAAAATGACTGTGAAGGAGTCACAGCATGAAGGTGAGCCTGGCCTATGTAGCTAACAGGAGACCTTTCATATGTTGACACGAGCCCTCAAAGTTTACCCAGAATGCACTTTATTACTCTGACAGGTGACTCACACTGACACTCGCAGCTGCACAGATTCCAGATCTGTGACACGTGATATCTGCTGCACTGATGAAGACACGATTTTAAAAAATGATTAAAAAGCACCGTCTCTTTGTGCTATATGGGCCTGTAAATCTGAAAATATTTATAGTGATGTCAAAGTTTGTATACCTGCATTAATTGCACAGTCAACAGTCTTATCACATCTGAGCTTTTATCTTTTATCTTTTAATGTATCGTTTTAAAAACTTGGAACTGCAGTGAACTGTGTTCGATCATCTTGAAATATTGCTTTGAATTGTTTAGGTGAACACGGGGATTTTGACAGTAAAATCATTCACAGACTTTACATTCCACACTCTGTTATTAAAAATGGTCAGTGGGACGTGCTGGTGTAATCCCCCTCTTTCTGGACCCCTGCTGCTCTCCTATCTCCAGCCCCCCCCCACAGCAGCGTGATGCATGATGCCTCATTTGCATAAAGAAATCCAACGGTAATGCAGGGGGAGATAACAGTGCCGTTTATAATCCACGTAATCGAGGCACATAGGTGTTTCACATTGATACAGTCATAAAGTTTTCGGCAGCACATGCGTGCATGTGTTACCATCAGCCACTCACTCACCACTCCAATGCCTTCGAAGGCAAAGATGGCCGTTCCGAAGAAGAGAGGGTAGTCTTTAGCTCTGCCAACTTTTGGGAGGTCAGTGGGGTTTGAGATGTTCTGTAGAGAAACAAAACAAAATAGATCCACAGCCAGTTAGAGCTGTTCTTCAACTAATCGCATCCTCGCTACTCTTAACATGATTAGCCGAGAAAAAGCTGCACAATGAAAATGAACTGCTGCAGACTTAAAAATTACAGATGGAGTGAGGTGTTAAATGTTATCTGCACGACAGCCCTGTTCTTCACAACAATACAAATAAGAGAGCATCCGCTCAAAGAGCTCCACGCAAGCAGCTCGGCCAGCTGTGTCAGACACATGCCATTATTTCTGTATCTTTTGGCTCTTATTTTGAAAATTCAAACTCTGGTCTGGGACATGAATGATTCTTTCTCTACTGCGAGATGGAGGGTCACCTAAGCACTAAATGTACTACCTGTGCATGATTTATTATAAAGCATGTGTCTGTGTGCAGGTATCTGCAGAGGAGCACCGAGTTAACCTTCTGTCTGCAAACTTTGAGCTCATGCCGAGAGGAAAAAGTCCCACCGAGCAGCAGAAGATCCAGATTGTTTTCAAAGCTGCTAGTGGCCTTTATGCTCTGCTTATCCCCAAATGTGCTGCTCAGATGATCCATCAGCCACAGTCATCTCACAGGCTGCACGCACAACCTTCTCCACCACGCGCTGCTGCAGGGAGCTCTTACTTATCCAGGTAACAAACAAGCTTCTGCTCAATGTCACAACTTAATGAGACCACAGAGGGTGAAAAACGAGGCTACAACCTTGACTGAAGGCAATCGAATCAGAGAGAAACCTGCGGCTCACCGTGAGTGAGTAGTAGTAGATCAGGAACAAACTAGCCGTCATGGCCACATTGGCCCCCAGAGAGAACGGGGCCAGGCACTTCAGGTTGCGGATAAAGACCAGCAGGATGATGGCAGGCAGGAAGCAGAGCATGTATAGGCGGGAGTCAAAGCTCGGGACCAGGACCTGGGTCTGGTTGGTGTAGTTCGTCTGGCAGCTGATGGTGGTGGCGTTGGCAGCTTCTACCACCTGGTGAAGGCAGGTCAGATAAAGAGAGGATGATGCTCATTCTGCTGAAAAGGTCTTAAACACCAAAGGAGTGATTACAACCCAGGACTGGATAGAGATCGTCTGCAGGCTCAAACCAATCAGAGCTAGAGCTCGGGCAGTGTGTGCAGGTTTTCTGAGACATAAAAATCATACGAAATTCTCTCTGTGGAAATAAATAACAGAGCAAATATCATGTGTCTTTCAAAGTAAGAGCATGGGGCTTGTCCACCTGGAAATGGAATGTGTTGTGTTCTCCGAAGGTTGAAAACTGTGGATATTTCAGATCTGTGTTTGTGTCATGTTTCTGCTCAGCTCTTCAACACACGGCTCTGTATTTACTGAGCCGAGTCAGTCTGAATCTCTGAGTAAAATCACCGCCCACCAGATGTTTGACTGCTGCTTCAGCAAAAATGAGCGGACACAAAATACATGCAGGCAGGCGGCACCCCCTAGTGGCTAAAAACTGAACTACACAAACTGAGCCTGTCTTGATCGCCATCATTTCCATCACCTCACACACTCCCTGCTGAAATAAGTGATCGTCTGATTTTCCTCCATATCAGTGTGTTTCATGGTATTCTATTCTCTCAGTAAAGACAAAACCACAGGAGTATGAACCGAACATAATTAAATATTTACTCATGCAAACATCCATAAAATTATTAGATCATGTGTTTACTCTACAGTCAGTCTGTCTGCACTTTCTTTAAACTGAGGCAGGTGGCTGAAGCTCAGCGTGCCTCCTCACGCTTGGCCTGATAGGACAGATTACTTCTGGAGAACATTTTCAGGTTTTCCATGAGTGCAAAACTTTGCAAAAATTTGTTGTAACATGGCACAGCCTTCTGGGTGGCTGACCTGCATGCAGGGGTTTGATCTGGAGTTATTACAGCTTTCCATTTTTTTATTTGAATGTATCTTTAAATCTTTCATTTTCACTTTAGTTTAGCTTCTAGGATACTTTTAAAGTTTCACTTTTAGTTTTTATAACTTTCAGAGTCAGTCTTGTTTTTTTTTTTATGAAGAAATGATCCGTACTGATTTATGAAGTTCAGATCAGTTAAACAAAACGAAAACATCTGTGAGGTCACTGAGGTCACACTGGCTGCAGCTCTGTGGTTATCAGCCCAATAAACACCACAGGTGAAAATCACATGGTACAAAAACACCTCACTCTGTAACGCTGACAGGGACAATTAAACTGTGTCTGTGAGTGCATCTGTGAGTTTGTGAATGTCGGTGTGTCTGTCGGTGAGTCTGTGAGTGCATCTGATTATGTGAGTGTGTTGACCTGCTTGACGTTGTCACTGAGGAAGACAAAGTAGACACAGCAGAAGCCCAGCTGTGTGATGATGAGGAACAGGTTGACGGTCCGCCTGGGCGAGACGATGAAACAGTTAAAACACAGAACAGGACGACGTCTCTCTGATCACATCTTTAATTCTTTGAGGTTCACAGGTCTGAAAGAATTTCCTTTCCTTTAAAAAATTTACGTTTTTTGTTATTTGTTTTTTTCTTATGCCTGTGGGACTAAATCTGACATCTTTACATGTTTTACATATTAAAATTAATTTGTTTTCTTGACGTGTCTAAAGAAACACCGAGCAGAACAGGTGAGCGTGTTTCTTACTTTCCCCACTGTGAATGTCGCCTCAGCCACGGCACGTTTTCCATCCCGTACTGCACAGCCTCGCCATAGGTCAGAGATGGTCGGTTCATCCTGCGGGGGGGGGGGGGGGGGGGGGGGCATCCAGGTGTCAGTCAGTTTCAGCTGACATGAAGCTAAATAACCAAACTGAAAATAACCAGCACAGAAAAGTCGCCCTCTGCTGGACATAAAGGTATCCAGGTTTAAAGTACTGGCTTCAAGCCTGGACAAGCCATGTCCATCTTTAATATACAGTTTATAAGTTCACTGCAGTAAACACCGCCTGAACACAAGCTTAAGCTCCAAAGCTTGTGTGAACAAAGCAGTTCATCTGGTGTCCAGCAGAGGCAGCAGTGAGCCAGCTCCCACATGTTTACAGACCGACACAGACACTGGTTTAGTCTCTATAGATGATTTATAACTCAGCTGCTTAAATTGCATTAAGGCTTAAAGCTTGCACGATCAGGAGCGTGGCCTCTCTGACTGACAGGTGGATGGTGACACAGGCAGCTGTAGCTGCTAGCTGTCTGCTAGTGTCACCAGAACTGGACTTCTGGACGTGTTTGTGCTGTTGGAGGCTTTTGGAGCATTTTAATGACATCATTTGACCCATAACATGGCTTCTGCGAGGTTACTGTAGTAACAGAGCAGCTCACAGATACCCTGACTTTGGGACATTTCAGGAGCCCAGAAGCACACGAAATGAGCTAAAAAATGATAAAGCCTGCAGAAACCCTCTGAAGTAAAAACAGATAAACGTTATATATGAAGAGTTAAAAACAATAAAATCCTTAGTAAGGCTTGAACACAGGTGCACATGCCCAACGAGTTGACAAAGAAATAAGAAAATGAAGTTTAGTTTTAACCCTTATTGGGTAACTGCGGTTCTTCCATATCTATGACAGAATCAGAGAAGTGACAACTGACTCGGCAAAAATTAAACCTCTAAAAACAGGAAGGGCCGCAACCACTTCTGTGTCTCCTCAGCTGATGCGTGACGGTGCAGAGGTGTCCGTTCACACTCGCGATCTCCTTGATCCTTTTAATCCCAGCTAATGGATCGCCGTGTGAACTGGGCAAAGGGCGGGCGAGGGGTGGATGGGCAGGTTCACAGTCACAGGTAGTACACTAATTAAAGTCTAATAGTGACTGCACTAATCTGCTGAGCTGCCACGTGTCACCAGCTGTAAAACAGATAAGCCCCGGTACTCTGGGTTTTCGGCCACATGGCTTCACTTATGTAATCCCACTAAAACTGAACCGATGTGGCGATCGCCACGGAGAGGTGGGGCTGATCACAGGTCACGGTGACAGTGTTTGGTAATGTCTGTGACAGCTGATGAGCCTCAAGCAGGAACAACAGCAAACACAACGAAGCCGCTGCAGAGCAAACATGCAAGGACGAGTGTGGTTTTAGTGCAAAGGAGATTAAAATGAGCTGCTGCAAAGGCATGAAGGACTCAGTTCAAACAGAAAGACTTAAAGCAACGAGGACTCGAGCACAGCTTACAGAAACCCAGCCTGACCTCTACAGTTAGTTAAAAATAATAAAATAAAACGTGCAGCTCAGAGACATCGTAAAACAGACAGGATTCATCATCAGCACTGGATTCACTGGATCTGTGCATCAACATACAGCTGATTTCTCAGCAGAGCCACAGACTCAGACTGTTTTGTTCTCATGATACAAGCGTCACATGACACCGGCCCACAAACCCAGTTTAATTTGCTCTTGTGCCTCATGCTACCTCATCTATAAATGAGGTATCTCCAAAAAAAAAACCTTTCAAAATAAAAGCTGAAATGTGTGTTTTACTGCATTATTGTGGAAAGTAGAAATCAGTGATTTAGTGATCATTAAAATCTGTTCAGAATCAATTAGGATTCATCTCTTAAGTCTTGACACACTGCCGGTCACACATTAGCTGCTGCAAACATCAGGTGAGTGCGTCAATCGGGCTGGTAGTTATTTTACAGTCTGCTGCTTCCAGGCGTGTGTGCAGTGAAAGAAAAACAGCATTTTCCTGACATTTTACATCTCATTTGAACAAAGAGCAAAGAGCCGCTCTGCTCCAACGTAAAGTTATACCGAAGTGACGCACTTATCCTCTCAGCCACGTCCAAACACAGGGACCTTACAGTCTTCCTGCTGAGCCTCCAGCTACTTGCGACCGTGGCTCAGGGGGTTGGGAATCGCATCTGTCACCGGAAGGTCACCGGTAGAGCAGGGCGATATGGGCAAAAATATTTATCAGGATATATATTTGAAAATTTGCGATAACGATATAACCGACGATATAATTGATGCGAGACAAAATACAAACTCCACAACATTACTAGCGCAAAAAGACAACCTTCCATTTATTTTCACTTAAACAAGAAGCTGGTTTTTATGTACATTAAAGCTTTATAAAAATGTAACAGTGCAAATGCAAATTCCTTGCTGAAAGTTTAACCAAAAGGCATTTCCAGTAGAAATGGGCTGACATATCCTGAGCATAACCATGTATAATATCCACTGAAGTTAAAAAGAGGTGCTTTGCAACATTAAACTGCAGTGTGCAGTACGTATTTTTCGGACCATAAGGTGCACGGGATTATAAGGCACATTAAGCGAAACAAAGCAGTCAGATAAATCAAACTTTATTAAACTCATTCTTCTTGCTTCCTCCACTTCTGTACCATTGATTCATTAATGTTGAATTCTCTGGCAGCTGCTCTATTCCCATGTTGTTGCAGTATATTAATGACTAACCTCGTATTGTGGATGGATTATCTCAGTTGTTCTCCTGACTGAAGTTTGGTCCGTTTACAGCATCCTGCCATGCGATTGCATTTGCCTCTAACCATGAAGAACCTTCACGTTAACTTTTATAAGTGGAAAAGTGTTAGTGTTCGTCCTCCAGCTTCACTGTTTATGTTATGCTAACATAGCTGTGTCGCTAGCGATCACGTAGCACATCATTATATACCAGCTAGCCCAACTTCAGTAACCCTACAAACGTCACTGCTGTTTAGTTTCCTGTCTTCGTTTATGTTGGAAGTGATAGCAGAGCTGTACGTTTGATTTTTTTTTTCAGAAATCTCTCAGTCAGAACATGCAATATCATGCTTAGGTAACTAGCGAAACTAGCGAGCTAACTTCCGCTAGCTTCCTGCTAACTTCTAACTCCGTTAAATGTAATAACTTTTGTTTTCATGGATGCCTGGAAGTTAAACTTTATAGTTACACCTGGTAAAGCAGCAATGCTGATCGTTTTATTAAAGATGAAAGAATTTAGACAGTTTTTAACTCTAAGTGATGCTGCAGTGTTGTTTGACCTGAAGTATACGGAGTTTAGGACCCAGATTACTCCCAGATTTAAGAGCATCTTAGTCCGACAAATACGACAATAACAACGGCCGCTTGCATGTTCTGCAAAAAAATGTGCTTTGTTGTGTATCTGACGGACAAACACCAAACCAGTTCCACATCACGGAAGTTGCACCATTTTTACAAACCAATTCTGGTTCATCAGGGCTTTGGAGCGTGATGTCACGGGAGTGGGCGTGGAAAGGATTTTGGCCCGATCCGCCATTTTGGGGGTCTAAGTAAGGAGCGAAAGCATAGCCATGGTTCGTACTTGCTGTGCGATGTTCGATCTTACGACCGGCACGGGAATAAGTTTGGATTGTCTTTTTATGCTTTCCCAACCTGGAAGCAACATGAAGGAGCTCATGTATCGGATATTACCAAACGAAGGCGTCTAGCCTGGATAGCAGCCGTGAGACGAGCTGATATCAAGTTCTGTTACGTCTCCAGATATCAGTTGGTGTGCTCAAGACATTTTCATTCCGGTAAGTTCTAAATATGTTCACATCACACTTTATAGCTGAATAATATCATCGTTGGTGGTCTCAGAAGTTATAGAAATTGCGATCAAACATAGAATGGAGTGACTTGATTGGTTGATGTAAAGACAATAAATGAAATGAGACAGGAAGGACACAAATTGGCGTTAATAATTTACCCGATTATCAATGTGTTAACTTGCATGTACTTTACAATTATGGGCATATAATATGATAACGATATTTTAGCAGTTAAATGATAAATGTGTAACATTAATTATGGTGGGGGGTGGAAAATGGCTATTTCACTCGGTGCACTCCAGCTGACTTACTTTGACGACGTACTCAGAGTTTGGCGGCTTGAAAATAGCCAAATCTTGCACCCAGCCATTTGTAAATTGGATGTGCGCCTCCAGTGACTTGTAATTACGAAACTGGTTCGCTGTGTAAGCGCTTACTCCACAAACAAGATACGTGAAGATATCGGGGTAGGACAGTGGCGGTAAGTCGTCTGGGTCTTTACTCCACTGCCGTATTTCAAATGGGTCCAGATTTGCGATGCACTATTTTTTTTCCAAGTACCGCTGCTTCGCCTCTGGACGCAATCGGTCTCTATACCGTCCGTTTTCTTTTGAGCTGCTTTTAAGCATGTTTCTTGTCGTCGTCGTTCCAACACAGTGTGTTTGTTTTGATTCGTAGACCCCGAAAATGGAGCTGCGCTCCCACAATGCATTGCGGCGTGACGTCAACTCCAAAGCCCTTCTGTTTCACTCAACAATCGGCCATGTGCGTATGAAAACAAAGGCACTGCGCGTTTTACTCCCATTCTATCGCGATATTTCATTTTCCTATCGTTGCCTAACATTATACCGGTATTACCGTGAACGGTATAATATGGCCCAGCCCTAGTCACCGGTTCGATCCCTGGGCTCTCTGTCCTGGTCGTTGTGTCCTTGGGCAAGACACTTTACCCTACCGCCTACTGGTGTTGGCCAGAGGGGCCGATGGCGCGATATGGCAGCCTCGCTTCTGTCAGTCTGCCCCAGGGCAGCTGTGGCTACAACTGTAGCTGCCTCCACCAGTGTGTGAATGTGAGAGTGAATGAATAGTGGTATTGTAAAGCGCTTTGGGTGCCTTAAAAAGCGCTATATAAATCCAATCCATTATTATTATTATTATTACTTTGAGAAACATTTAAAAAAAAAAAAGAAAGAAGCTTTTATTCTGTGTATTATGTGTTCCCATCCGATCCCTGTATCGAGTGTTTGCGTTAGATGAAGAACAGGAGTGAGCTTTTATCTGAATGTGTGTGGGCTGAGGCTGTGTGGATTACGGAGGACGACGGGATGTGAGGAAATCAAACCAGATGATTGTGTTTTTGAGGGCTGAAGAGCGAGAATCGAGATACTCACTTTGCACTGAGGTGGTGGGAACACATCACCAGCAGCTTCATGCAGTGAACCGCGATGATGCCCATGACCAGAAGACTGATGGGTCCGAGCTGCACACAAACACAGACCGAGTTTGTGTGGCGTTTAAAGGCTCAGACTAATTCTGTGTCATGTGACCTTTGCAGGTATGCTTACCACCAGCCCTGCATTCTTGACAGCCAGAGGCAGACCCAGCAGGCCTGTACCAATATTCCCTTTGAGCAGGTGGATCAGAGTCTGGAAAAAACTGCAGCATGAAAAATGAAGTTAGAATCAGACCAGCCAGATCTGTACGTCCTGCATTGGTGTTACGTTCTAAGTCTAGGTGTGTCCTGAACGCAACAAAAATTTGCCCACCACACTCCACCCAAAACAAGAACCCAAACAATAGTATCTTTTAAAATGCTAAGCAGCCATTTATTTGCTTCAGCAGTGAGCAGTGCCAAAAACAACAAACAAAACTCCCTAATGGTCCCTACGCTTTCCTACACAAAATGAAAAACCAAACAAAAGACAATTCACTTACCTAACTCGCTACATGAAAAACAGGAGAAAACTTAATCAACAAAAATGGCGTCTCACGTCTCACGCCTACTAGGCTGCTGCAGTGAACAATATATACAAGGTGGAAAAAAAAATACTCAATTGCTACTTTACAAATCTATTTACAGCTATATACAAAACTAAGATACCAACACCACAGTGATCACAACCCATGACAAACTGAAACACAGGGCTTAAATACATAGAGGGAGCAATCAGGGAATGGACAACAGGAGGGAAACACAGCTGGGGCAAATCAGAACTGACGAGACAAGGAAGCGTAAACTGAACACACTGAGATAAGACAGACCTTCAAAGTACCACAGGAAACACATAACAGTCACGCCTAACACAAAACACTGACAACATTGGATCGTAACAATTGGACAGTCCGAAGGCATTTTACTCACGAGGTCCCCGCCTGTCCTCCTATCCTCTCGTAGTTGCGTTGGGGTCTGGACGGTCCTGGAGGAGACGGACACAGAGCGTCCAGCTCAGACGGATTTTGGTCGGACAACAAAGCTGAGACGAGAGGCAAAGAGACAAAGACGAAAACCATGTGTTTGACATCACGTGACCCTCTGATGTGTTTACCGCCCTGTCTTATGTCAGTCAGCAGTGTGTAAGCAAGCTTTCCTGCACCGTCACCTTTCACAGTGATGTGACTCCGGTTATATACACACACAGGTGTCATCCACCTCGTCATGTGACCTGACACCTACACTCTCAGTGACAAACTACAGGACCTGAAAGACTTGAAGTTGGAGAAGAAACCCTTCAGATCTGGCCGTGCATGAGGCTCGCTGCACATGACTATAAACACGGTGATAACTGAAGATCACCTGACTCCAATAAGCAGGAAGTCCTGAAGGCACACATTAGGCTCAGTGCTGTGTTTAATAATGTGGCGCTTTAGTACTTGTTCATGACTCTTATTATCCCTTCATGATAAAAACTGGAAGTACTTCCACGTGAGAGCAGAACAGCAGGAAGCTGTGAACTGAGCTGAGACACAGCGCTATAAAACTAACAGTTATAAAAGCGTCTTTAAAGATCTGAGCGCATCGTAACTACGTTCAGAGGAACCCGAGCCTTGCACTCATGAACCTGTCACCAAACACTTCTTATCTTTGCTCTTTATTTGATCTCAGACTAGCAGGTAAACTAAAAATAGCCTCAAAGGGAGGTTTTCAATTATAAATGAAAGTGGACATTATATCACCCCACCCCCACTGTATCTGCAGTCCACACATACATGCTTATTAATGCCAAGCACACACATAAAACTCTATTACTCACACAACACACACACAAGCCCGTTCAGCTATCTTAGTGAGGACCTTCATTAACATAATGCTTTCCCTAGCCCCTTACCCTAACCATCAAAAATGAATGCCTAACCTAATTGTAACCCTGACACTAAAACCACATTTTGAGCCTCAAACAGGCCTTCAAACTTGTGAGGACCGGTGAGTGTGTCCTCACAAGTGACTGTTGGTTCTCACAATTATAGCAGAATGAAGATTTCGGTCCTCACAAAGATAGCTAGACAGGAACACAAACGCACACACGCTGCAGCAGCTGCATGTGTTTAAAGTCTTTAGAAAGTAAAACCCACTTTGTGCTGCTACACTGAGGAACCATCTCTGACTTATCTAAGAACTCAGAACGACTGACGGCAGCACATCAGCGACCAACAGACACCAAACAGACAGGCGGTCACTGCCATCACACTCAAGGATTAAAACAAACTGTAGAGCAACCCACTTTCTTCAGCCTTAAACACGACCTTTAATCTGAAAATACTGATGGGAAGAAAAAAAGCTTGATTCTTTGAATTAACTAATAACTGATGACCAATCAAAATTAACATTGAAGAACATGAAGAACTACTCAGCAATGCAGAGACTGAATCAGACTCTGACGCGTTCCTTTACTGATGATGATAAAGTGACCCTCTCCGACCTTTCAGCTTTTTAAAGGAGGCAAGTTTGATTTTTGGAGGTAAACATTGTACATGTCGTCGCAGCGCATCATCTGCCTCCATCTCCTCCTATCCTTCCTTCCTCCTCTGTCACATCACCCCTCTGCATGTCTTCTTGTTCTCCTCCTGCTTGGCAACTCCATCTTCATCCTCCACCCTCACTCCTCTGCACATGCTCAGACCATCTCACCCTCTCTGACTCTGAGCTGCCTCTCTGATGGACTCGTTTCCGCTGTGTTGCTTTAATCTTTGTACCAGAGGCACAGTTACACTTGTGCCTTCCCGTGCTCCCTCCCTACATGCTAAATAACATGAACGAGTGTAACAATGAAACCACGACATAAGCAACATCAAACTTCAGCCAACAATCTTGTACTCCACATCTACAAACTGAACATGCTCGCTCACAGATCTATGTCGTGACCGCTCATAACGAGCACGTCGTGTCTGGCCGTGACCTCCCACCAAACCAGACGCGAGCCGGCCAACAGGCGGATTCTGTAGATGAAGTGAAAGCTGCTTTGATGATTCACCGTCTACCTGCCAGCTGGGATTACACATAATCCCTGTGTGACTGTGGCCCCGGCTCACGTTCGTGCGCCGTATCATTTTTAACCATCGTCCTGACTTTACTACCTTCGCCTCGGCCGTCTACGTCGCTGGACGCCATCATTCTAGGTGGGAAGGTTTGGCAGACAGCCGGGCGTCGTCTCTCCCAGCCTCACGGATCCTAATGCAGTGAGATCAGGGAGTCCAGCGTGGACGCCTGTCCACTGCAAACAGATAAGAGATAAGAAGAGAATGAGATCTGGCAGCAGCAAAACAAAAACAGAGTCAGAAACTGAGCATGCTCACAGGCTGCTGCACGAGTCCCTGAACTGGACCTCTGCACCGTGTTTGCGCTGCTGGAGCCTTCTTAATGACATTATATGACCAATAACACAGCTGCTGTGAGGTTAATCATGCTTACATTAAACAGACTTCATGACCTCCTTCGTACTCGCACAAGGTTTCAAACACACGCTTCGTTGTTTGTGTCTGATGGCTTTCGGAAGAAAAGCCGAAAGAGGTTTTTAGGGGACAATTCTGAGGCTTGACTTCTCCTGGCACTTCCTCTTCAGAGGAGCGTGTTTCCCAGCAGCGGTTCACCAAGCGTGGCCAAAGTGTCGCCATCAGGAGCGACTCAGCATTTTTTTGTTAGTTTTTTTTTTTTTTTTTTTACAGCGAGTCATGACACGAGAGGCCTGAACAGCACAGCGCATAGTTTCTGCACTTAAAACAGCATCAGCAGCTCAATGTGGGCTTTTATTTCACTATGTAACAGAAAGGTTCAGTCCTGCAGCATTGCTTCTCGCCTTTGTGCTCCCACACAGCTGCTTTATATTCCAGGCTTCACCCGCAGAACAAAGCAATCAGTTATTAAATATCCCGAAGGTGCTCATCTTCAAGTACCTTCATAACTGAACTCTCTGGCCTAAAAGCAGTCAGCGTGACATTCAGCTGTTGTTGGGTGATATTTGTAACACTGTGCATACAGCTGATTCAAAGCCTCCTCGGCCGGCTGAGCTGACAAATGAGCGTGTTTTTATTTCACACCAATAATCAAATTGGAAAGTATATAAATTAAAATGTCGCCCAGGTGAGCAGGAAGTGATTTACCTGAGCAGGAAACACTGCTGAGTTATAAAGATTCATTCAGCCATTCTCAGAAACTACGATTAGACGTTACTGATCGAGCTCGTCCTGATGCTTAGGTGTGTCCCGATGCTCTCTCTCTTACACTCTGGTTTAATCTAATGGCCAATGATCATCATCAGCGTGTGTTTGTCAGGTAAATGTGACACGGAGCCTGCTGCTGTGGAACACTGTGTACATTGATGGCTGAGCAACATGAAAATGAGCTCGTTATCTCACGTGTTTATCTCATCTGCAGAGAAGAAGCCTTTATATATTTACCTACAAACAGGAGGAGGTTTAAAGTGCACCTGTGCAGATGTTGACCCCAGCTGCTCTTCAGAAACCGCGCCAGCCGAGTTGGCGTATTTGTCATGTTTATTTACTTTCTGGTATTTTCTTTTTCTTCTGTTTTCGTCCTCTGGGCCTCGCGTTAAAACAGATATGAGCTGCTGTGTGTTTTACTGTGCAGGTAAACCGTGACAGCCCCAGCCCGAGCCCCCCCGGTGCTTTAACGGCAGTCAGCGCGATAATCGCATCATTTTAAACTGTCAACGGACACAGACCCGGCGGGCATTCCCGCCATAAACACAATAAACGAGCCCACGGTCCCGCAAAACCGGCTGTGGACGGAGGGTTAGCTGTTAGCCGTAGTTAGCTGTGTGCTGCGGTGCCATTTTCGGAGTAAACAACGAGCCGCGGCAGCAGCGGCCAGCCTTACCTCGCAGACACCGCGCGGACTCGGTCCTCCTGGCCTCGTTATCAGCTCTCAGTCCGCCGCAGGCCGCTTTATTTTCGTATCGTGCTCATGGTGGCGAAGCAGCACAGATTGAAGGCAAAGCGGGACTGTGCTCTGTCGGGCTCGACTCTCCAACAGACAGCCAGCGGTGTGGTCACATGACATTGTCGAGAGGGACGGTCGTGGCATTCGACGTGATCCCGTTGCCATAGATACGGATTATAATGTCGTGGCGGTTGGTAAACCATTTTATTTTATTTTATTTTATTATTTATTGGTTTAATCTTTTTTCTCAGTTTTCTGTTACCATTTGCGCAGTCCTGTATGTTCACTTCTACACAATAAAATAAATAAATAAGCCACCCAGCACATCAGCTGTTCTCCTTGTTACCATCTGGCAGACGTTACAGGAGTCTGTCTGCTCGGACTACAAGACTTAAAAACAGTTTGACCACCAAGCCATACGACACCTCAACCACAACACTTAAACACACACAACACAGTCCACAGGACGCACTCAGAAGCTACCCTGCAGCTTCACAAGTACTCTGTTTAATCTGCACTGGTCACTCCACTTTATTGTTGATATTCATATTTAAAAAGTCTATTTATTATTTTATTATTTTATTTTATTATATTTTCTTCTACTGTACCGTGCTGCTGAGTGACTGCTGCTCGTCAAACACATTTCATTGCAATGTTGACCCTGTGCTAACGTGCATATGACAAATAAAACTGAAACTGAACTGAAATGAATAAAATCACGAGTTTTACGTGAGCTTATCGAAAGGAATACGATTACGTAGACTACAACGCTCTGTTCTCATATTCTCAAATCTGCTTTCGGATTCATTGGGCTTTTATTTTGGAAACTCGTTTAAGGATTTAGGTTCGCTTGCTGTGTGCACCGGGGTAGCTAGGACAAGGTAAAGACTATCTCTGAATCGAGGAGCTTTCACAGTCTTACTACGTTATGATTGCAGACTTCTCCAACTCTCTGTAAATGGTACTCATGGCCTCTGATCAATCAGTGGTTGTTAGTCATTGGTCACGACAGTTTGCATATTAATCATCAACTTTTTGGGATTACAATAATGCAGTTTGTTTTTAATTTTTTTTTAATTATTATTAAACTTGTTCAGCTTACTCAACCAACCTATTTAGCCAAGTGAAACTAAAAGTGTACCGTTCATGTTAAAATAAAAATATTTTTGATTAAAGGGTTATTTTATGTATATTAGATATAAACATTGTGAAAACGGTCTTGAAAATCTTGAAAATCTGGTATTCTTAACCCGGATATCCGGTATTTGTTGTGCTAACTGCAGCTAGCTTGCGGCTAAACAGCGGTCCCATCCTGGGAGTATTTGGAGCCGTGTAGTTACGTGGAGGCAAAAGTCTACATCGGTCTGTTCGCCGGGTTAGGACACGTCACTTCAGACATGACTGTAAGGTTTTAGGGGAGATTTATGCAGTTTTGTCGGCGTGAAGTTTAACGTTAGTCCGTAGCTGCTTTCTAAATGTCCGTGCACAGGGTACAGGAGTGTTCTTGTTCTGAAGTAGCTTTAAACCATAACCGGGGGCTCTTGCAGCTGCTCTGCTCGGCTTACTTTGTTGTGAATGTGGTACATGTTTTAGGAAATGAGGTGTGGGGTTCACTTTAACCGGACTTTGATGTGTGTCTGACAGAAGCACGAGTTTGAGGTGGCCATGACGTGTGAGGGATGCTCAGGAGCTGTTACCAGGATCCTGAACAAGATGGGAGGTGAGGCTGATCGTTCAGTTTTATTTATACAGAGTCCTCTCATAGCAGCAGTTAGTTTATACTGGAGTGGAGAGACTCCAGTATAAACGGAGCAATCATACACTTGGCATGTGAGGCTCATGCAGACGGTTATGGTTTTCACCTGACTCTCTGCAATTATTATTGGATTGGGTAATTATCTACATTTTTCCTGGAGCTTTGTAGAAAGTTAAAGCATTTGGAGGATCACCGCCTCACAGTGTTAGCTCTGCTGTCACAGGAGCGATGAGGAGATTAAAGTATTGAGCAGAGTTAGGGCTGCTCGATTATGGCAAAAATGATAATCACGATTATTTTCACTGAAATTGAGATCTCGATTATGTGATGATATTTATTTAACCCTTTAAGACCTACTATAGAACCAAGTCCGCCAGAGCTTATATTATATTTTTACATGCTGTAGTGCCATTTGTGGGAGCATTTCAAGTTGCTATACATCAATACAACTGTTATAGCCCATATTTTAATAATATGTATGCATTAAGTCAGTAATTAATTACATTAATTACATTAGTAATTACATTAATTGCAAAAAAGTGCAATAAACTACAAAAAAATTGAAAATGTTTTTTTTTTACATATATTGGGGAAATTTAAGAGGCTTATTCCTCAAAACGTTAAATACAAAAAAGTTGCAAAAAATAGTTTACAACAACAGGAAATTTATTTTGAGTGTCTTCATAGTTTTATTTTGGAGATACAGCAATTTTTATATACTGCAGGAAAAACAAAAAACAATCCTATGATGCAAATTTGCAAAGAAAACAGCAGGTGCATCAAAATAAACTATTTCCAGCAGTGCAATTCGAGTTCTAAGCATCCCAGAAACTATTCAGAAAAGTCAAACATGACTTATAAAAAAACACCAGTATAGGCTTTTAAGGCCTACAAGTAAAAAACTACATTTTCCACGAAAAATGACGTCACTTCCGGTGTCTGTCAGGAAATGGCGGACATGCGATAGTTCGTGTTGACGTCTTTTTCAGTGTGGGAAGTGTTACGAACAGCTGATCGGATCGGCAAAGCCTGTTTCTGGAATATTATGATTTTGTTCTTGCAAGCGCTTTTTATGCAATTTTTGCAAAGCTTTATGTGGAAGGAAACCGTGACCGAGGACAAGCTGATGGCATAAGATGTAAGTACAACTCCTCCGGTTTCATATGCAAAACAAATTATTGCGCTAGCTTACGCGGTTCCAGTTCTACGGGGATTTAAAGGGTTAACAATAACAATGTATTGAATAATGACTTTAAAAAATAATATAAAATAGTGTGCAAATACTGATAACAGTGCAAATGTTTGCAATATAAAAAATAAATGAAAAATGTAAACATCTATGTTTAGTGAACTTTGCAGTGTTGCTCTGTGGTGCAGCTATGACACCGTAGCAAAGTTTACACACTATGTCTACTTGATCCACGTCTGACTCCGCGAACCCATAATGTTTCCACAGCACTGAAGTTTTTTTTATTTTTTTTACCTCTCTTTTCAACCAACTGCAGTCACTCTCCTCTCCAAATAACTTCTGCTGAGCTTTCCGAGCTTTCCTCGGGTCCTCTTAACTCATTCACGGCTGGCAGTGAAACACAACAAGACTTGCACCACATTTTTGTCTCACTGCGCAATCCCTTACGTGCGCAAACCCTGCACCTCCTTGCAGGTCTACTTTTACTGCTGGTGGGCTTCAGTTCAACTTACGTTGAATGAGTTAATTAGGGGTGGGTTTTTATAATCGATTTATCGATTAAAATCGATTCTGGCTTGGATAACGTAAAATCGATTCATTAAAATCCTGAATCTATTTTTTAATATAAATTTATTTTGCCCGAAATGCCAGAATCTCAGGTGAGAGATCACAAAATTTCAACAACCACCAAACAGCTAAGACAGTAAATGAGAGCAGGAACACGGATTCTGCACAAAGACGTAAACACACAGCGCGGACCTGCGGATCAGAATCAGTGAGATGTTGCCTTTCTCAGCTGACGGTTGGGGCTGAAAGCCGACAGCTCGCTGATTCTGATCCGCGGGTCCGCGCTGTGTGTTTATGCCCTTTTTGCGCTTATCATAAAGCTGTTAGTTTTATAGTTTATACTGACCGAACCAGCAGCAAAAGAAGATCCAAACTACGCTTCACATAAACATCGTCATGAATTCCCTCTTACTTTTGCTGTTTTGCTTCCACCACCCCATATGGAAAAGATATATATATATAAATCTTATAAAGTTTTTATCTGTCTTTTATGAAACTTGTATGAAAAGCATACAAGAGTGAAAACACATATAAGATCCCTTTAAAAAATTATATAATGAAACTTGTATGTTTTGTATACTTACTAAAAAAATATATGAAAGTAATGAGAAAGTGGCGACTTTCATGAGTAAATCATGTAAGCCATATGTGATTTATATATGATTTACGCATGAAAGTGGCCACTTTCTGCCGTTGTTTACAGCGCTGTCGGCCGACGTTTTTTTTTTTTTTTTTTTTTCGTTTTAAATACTTCTGAAAAGAAAACCTAATTTCTGCTGTTCAATACTGAACAAATTTAAACTTTTTAAAATTATGCAAAATGCAAAACGCTTAGCCGTGTCTGTAATAAAACCGCTGTAACTTCAGAGGTAATGTTCATATGTTGATTAATGGTTTTCTTTCGTTTTTGATGTACTGCAGAATATTTGTATAAAATCCCAGGCCAGGAAAACCTTCATGTTTTTCTGTGTTTTATCTTCAGCTACTTTGACACAAAGGCATCTGCTGTGATGCTCACACCTTTGGTAAAGTCTTGGAGTGTCAGCTTCCTTTATATAGGTACAAAAATATGTAAATGTACTGATCTGAATTATAATATTTCTGACTGTCAACATTTCACAGATTCAAATCGAATTGAATTGAATTGAATCGATTCTAGAAATCAGTGATGATACCCAGCCCTACTCTTAATTGTTGTGATATGCAGAGAGGTGCGCTCGATTTGCCACACGGGGCAGCGCGAGAGTAAAGCACGAGGGAGGGGCTAATAATCGGCTCAGTCATTTTTAATGATCATTGAAAGCCCAGATCGTAATCGTGATTAAAATTCGATTAATTGAGCAGCCCTAAGCAGAGTCAGGGATATGCTGGGGGGGGGGGTAGATGTGAAGGGAACGTTCAGGGTCACCTGGTCCAGCCCTAACTATATGCTATGAAAGTTTGAAGCCTAATCTTAAAGGTAGAGAGTTTGTGTGTCTCCTGAATCCAAACTGGGAGCAGCTCAGCTACGTGCAGTGATGACATTTAACTCTTTTCCCCAAAAGCCGCCCTTTTTGTGCTGACCCGAGCAGTTTTCCTTACTGCATGTGCCCATCAGAAGTTAGTGAAGGTGGTCTCAGCCTGTGCAGCAACCATTGCAAAAACCAGAAGCATGTTTTGTCCTGTCTGTTACAGAGGATCCAGTTCCTCACGTTCGGCCCACAGGTCCCCTGATGCTGCTGTTTTCCTTTTAGCCTCGTGTGACTCAATGATCCAAGTATCACTTCTGTTTTTACAGCACGTCCTCCCATCAGTGGAAATGCTGACTGTTTTAGGGAGGCAGAGACATCATGTGATTTTGTTTTTATGTTCCTGTTCCCAGATGTGAAGTTTGAAATTGACCTGCCGAAGAAGCTGGTTTGGATCGAGTCTGACAAAGACGTGGATGTTCTGATGACGGCGCTGCAAAAGTCCGGAAAGGAGGTCAAATACAACGGCACGAAGTGAAGGACCTGCACCAGGTGACCCGGAGCGTTTATAGTCCTCGTGTTTTCTGTAGATTGATGTTTATGACGGCCATAAAGTTCCTGTAAATCTGCAGCTTCGTGCTGAGTTTACTGCATGCAGGAACATATCAGGGACACTATCTTCTTCCAGCAGCTCACAGAAACGTTAACAGGAGAGCGCGCTCCATCGGCTGACTTTAACCTTTGTGCACATTTAGAGGATGTTTATCTTCTGCTTGTCTCAGATCCCCCAACACTTCATTCAGAGTCACATCACAATTAATAGAGTTACACTTTTATTTTTTCATATTTTTTTAATGCAAATGTCTTTTTTTGTCTTGCTTTAGGAAATAATTCTTGCTGCTGCAAACTGAAGATTTAAGATGAAATTCAAGTTAAAGTCTGAGACCCTCAGTGAGTCTGCACCCCCTCCCATCCAGCTGTCACGCACAAACACCCCCCCCCCCCCCCCCCCCCACACACACACACACACACACACACACACACACCCACACACACACACGCACACACTTGATGCAGACAGGAAGTGTGCCTCCTCTGACCTCCTGAGTTACAACATCGTCCTCACACAAACCTGCCGAGCGTAATCATCTCCAAACCTTTACCTTCAGGCTGTAAATGAAAAAAGGAAAAAGCAGCATCTTAGATTTAGTTTCAGCTATGTGATGATGACGATGATGATGATGACTCCATTTCCTGGGGTGTAAATGATGAAACCTGTTGGCTGTGTTTGCTGAACCTGTTTTATTAAATTTGTTGATTTTATTCATAAAAAGACCATTTGAAGCTTTGCTGTGTGAGGATATTTGGAGCTCTGCACCATGTGGGGGTGAGGGTGGGACCACCTGCTGCACCTCCCCTCTGCTCTTCGACACTACAGTCTATTCTCTGCTGTTTTCATGGTTTTTAGGAATGTAAGGAGCTCTCCTCCTCGCCCGCTGTCTCCATAATGCTCAAATGTCTCAATGCTGGAGAAAATAAATCATTTCTGTCTTCAGTACGTCAGACTTTTTAGAAAAACACTGTCTACAAAATATTGTCTCTGTTCAGCATACAAATGCAAATATCCTAAAATTATCTTTTTTTAAACTGTAGGTTGTGTAATAGTCTGTACTAACCTTTGACCTCAGATATGCTCTGTCCCACTGCAAGGAAATCTTAAAGGAACAGTGTAAAATTTCACCACCTGCTTGCAGTCAGCTGAATTCTGTTTTCTTCCCCCTCCCTCTCCATTGCATGATCCTAGCTAGAGTGGCCGCTGTAGGACAAACGTGTTAGTGACCAAATAGCTCAAAATTATTAAATTTAGTCTGTGCCCATAAAGCAGGGGTGGGGAACTCCAGGCCTCAAAGGGCCTGTGTCGGCTGATTTAAATGGCTGAATAACCTCCTTAACATGTCTTGAAGTTCTCCAGAGGCCTGGTAATGAACCAATCACTTGATTCTGGTGTGTTTTCACCCAGGGTGAGATCTAAAACCTGCAGGACAGCATCCCTTGAGGCCTGGAGCTCCCCTACCCCTGCTGTAAAGTAAAAGTATTTTTATACAAGTTTTATTTTAACATAGCTGAACAATAAAGCACTAAAAATGACAGATATGGTCAGTTAAACATACTGCAGTATTTTATGGCTTGGTATGGTCACTCTGGCCGCTGTTCATCATTAGTGAGTGTACTCGGATACAGTGAGTCGGGGGTTTCTGTGGAAGGCTGTCAGTCTGCTGGGACCTTACTGACAGATGCCATCAAACACCTTTAGGATGAACTAGAACACAGATTGTGACTCGGTGCTCTCATCCAGCATCAGTGTCTGAGCTCACAAAGGCTCCTCTTGCTGGGCAAAAATAACAGACACCGAAATCTTATAGAAAGCCTTCACATAGTGAAAGCTGGTACAGGTTAAGGCTCCTGTCAGTGGCCTGGTCTGTAATCACACACTCACATTTAACTGAAGCACCAAATAAATGATTTGTTCTTCCACAAATCCTGTAATGTCGACAAAAAGTGGACCGGCCAGTGAGCAGACCTCTGTCTGCTGAGACTGATTAACTTCAGCTTGTTGTCTCATGTGGGTAAAACCATTGTATTGCAAACGGTTATTGGGGAGGGAGCAACAACAATAATTCTGTTGTTTCTGCAGTAATTGTCTCTGAGCAGGGAACTGAGGAGTGAGCAATCTCCTCTTCCATGACTTTGATGTTCTCTGCAGCATCACAGAAGGACTTTCATCTTGTTTTTAATGCTGCTCAGAGACCTCCACCTTTATCAGAACTTTAATCTGGACCCTCTTATGATTCACGATTGTTTAAGAGGAAAGGAAACTGGTTCATAACGAGAGCCACGGCCTAAGGCGTCACATAAAAACAACAGACAGACAGAATTTGACATGTGTGAAAGCAGACAGTTTGTTGGTTTGCTGACACGTCACCACAGAAGTCACGGTTATATTTGCAATCGCTGTAAACTGAAGGTGGGAAGCCGTTCTTACAACTCAGCCCTTCAGCCAGCAGGGGGAGCGGTGTGGCCACGCTCTTCCGCCTGAGGAGCTCCCGGCCGTGTCAGGGACAGAAGACGAAAAGTGCCTCAGACCACAGAGCAGGTCAAAGAAAGTGCTGAATGAGAAAAGCTGATGGTTAACTCTGGATTCTGTGTGGCCTCGGTGTCTATCACAGACAGATTCTCTCCTGTGCTCAGTCAGGTCAGTCGTATTTATTCAGCCCAACAAGACAAAGATCCAGAAAACAGAAGACAAGCATTAAAACAGACACAGAGGCAGATACGACTGTACACTGATACCACGAACACTCCCTGAGTGTTTGATGTTATTTTTATTTTTTTTATAAAAACCAAGCAGAAGATTTAATTTGAGTCTTTTCTCACTGAAGCATGACGTCTGTGGATCATAATGTCCACAAACATGGACGATGACATCATCGTTAATGGGAGGAGCTCAGAGGAGCCCAGCCCTGCCGGATATCTGTGTGTTAGAGAGATTAGTCCAGTAAGATGAAGAGTGTTCTTACCCGGGCAGCACCCAGGTGAGCAGTGAGGCCTTTACCAGTTCTCTCCAGGACAGCTGGAGCAATTCAAAGGAGACAGCTAAGAATCTCTGACCAGGTAAGACTGGGAGCTGTTCAGAAGCCAGGAAAACAAAATGTCAGCAAACTTGGCCACAGACGACAGTCCGGCTGTGTGTTGCTGGTCCTAAAGTATAGGTGAGGGATGACCTGGATGAAGACAGGTGAGTCTGCTGAAGAGCGGGACCTGGGAGGCCCCACCAGCAGGCGGAGCCCAGAGCAAACCCAGCTCACCTTTACCTGCGGAGCAGTATGAGAACACAGGAAGGCCTCGTACCTCGTCCAGTTTTATTTAATGAATGGGGATGTTAAACATGGATCCTTTTTTATTATCTTCTTCTTCTTAAACTCTGTTGACTGCTTGGTTTCAGGCCTCTTGACTGAACTTTGCCAGTTGTAAGGGAGTTCTTCCCACCATCACCAGGTGATGCTCACAGCGAATCAATCTGATGGAGCTTTGAGGTTGATGTTAATTAGTGCTATGCAAATAAAACTGAACTGAAATGTGAAATATACTTGAAAATGATTGGATGTAGCCTCACAATAATGCTGTCAGCTTTAGCTCAGCGTATGCCATAAACACACACACATACACACACACCTGTCCGCAGGTAAACAGTAACAGGTAATTTATGTGTGTGTGTGTGTCCTATGGTTTGGGCTGAGGTGGGGTTGGGTGTAGTTATTGCTGTCACGTCCTGTCCCGGGCGCCAAAGCAAACAGAAGCATCAGCAGGAGGTTACAGACAGTCGGGGAAATGTGCAGTTTGACAGACGAGAGCAAACAAGCAGTCCGGCCTGTGGCTTCGCATCTCTCTGGGAGTCCCTGCCGTATATTTCCTCCACGTTTGGTGGAAATTCATGTGGACCGTTGCCCAGAATTCATACGCCGGGAAACGTAAAGTACATGGATGTGAGCTAACACCATCCTCCCACAGCACAGCGGAACAGAAACAGGTGGAGGTAGCGACAGCGAGTTATCTGCAGAGGTTTGTGTGTGATGAAGTGAGACAGAGCCAGTATTTTAAAGTGTCAGAAATTGACAATCAGAAATTGACACGAAAAGCTCTTTAATATTTTCACTTAGGAACATCACCTGCATCTTTAAGCTTTGAAAAAAAATGAAAAAAAGAAGAAAGAGTCTGTTTTGCAGCTGTTGCTACAAAATTGTCATTTCATGTCAAACTGTTATTTTTGGATTTTTCATAGATTCAACAAAAGAAATGTGAACAAATGATGAAAACACCGGTTAATAGGGATGTAAGAAAATATCGATACAACGAAATATCGCGATATTTCGCGCAATGATACTGAATTGATATTTAAAATCAGTGTTATCATTTTTTTTAATTGAAAAATGACATGCATTTACTGTTTATTTCTTTTGTATGTTGGAATTCAAACTCCGGCCACTGGTTTGCAGTTTTCACCGCCTTTACTATAACGTAAAAACGAGGTCTCACGATAACTGTAGAAGCGTCTAGTTTGCCAAAAGAACGAAGTAGAACAGTCAGTGGACGTGTGTGATGCTAGCTAACTGATGACTGAAGAGGAGAGGATACAGCCGGCCCCCGCAGCTTTCAAAGCTGATGTGTGGACTTATTTTGGATTTAGGACAAAAGAAGGCAGTAAAGACTATGACAAGAGCTATGCAGTCTGTAAAATCTGCACCGCCAGAGTCAAATATTCCGGTAACACAACAAATTTACGAACACACGTGTCTAGACACCATAGCGACGTAGCGTCAAATGCTAATTTTAAAACGAAACGAGGTGATCCCTCTCAACGGACAATTGAAGAAGTTAACTTTTCGAAACTACCAGCAACTTCAACTGCAACAAAAATAATGCAGTCAGTACTTGTTTTTATTTGCAAAGACATGCGCCCTTTGAGTGTTGTGGAGAATAAAGGATTTCGTAATATGATTAAAACGCTGGAGCCCCGTTACACCGTTCCTTCTCGACAACACATCACGGACATCGCTCTGCCAAAAGTTGTACCAAGAAGTCGAAGCGACAGTGCTGGACTCTCTCAGCTCGGCTGAGACAGTTGCTCTGACATGCGACGCTTGGACTTCGAGAGCCACTGAATCGTACGTAACTGTTACAGCACATCACATAACGGACCAGTGGAACCTTCAGTCTCATGTACTACAAACCCGAGCCATGCATGACAGTCACACAGGTGAGCACATTGCAGCGTTACTAACTGACGCTGAATGGGGATTGAACGCAAAGGGCCTTGTTGTTGTTACCGATAATGCACCAAACATGGCTCTCGCGGCTAGACTTGCAGGCATGACGCACATACAATGTTTTGCACACAGTCTGAATCTCGCCTCACAGAAAGCACTGAAAATACAATCCGTGGTGCGACTTCTTGGGAGGATCCGACGTGTAACAGCCTTTTTCAGGCGCAGCACCACAGCCAGCAACCAGTTGAAGCAGAAACAGTGCCTCCTTCAGCTACCAGCTCACAGATTGATCACGGACATAATTACAAGATGGAACAGCTCCTATGATATGATAGAACGATTTTTAGAACAGCAACCAGCCATCTGTGCAGCTCTGCTTTCTGCAGAGTGAGTCTGACATCACATGTGCAGAAGAAGTTGTCAGGGCACTCAAGCCTATGAAGGACGCCACCCTGGTGATGTCAGAGGAGAGTATGCCAACCCTGCTCCTCTTCATGCCAAGCTTGTGATGGGTGCACAAGAAAGTGTTGATGATACACCGATAGTAAGGGACATTAAGACTGCCATAGCAGAAGATCTGGGAAAGAGATATGTAAATGAGAGGGAGACACTATGGATGGCATCAACTGTTGATCCTCGGTTTAAGGACCTGCCCTTCCTGTCTGAAGCAGAGACCAGTGAGACCTATTCCAGACTGTTGGACACTGAGGTGACTGTGATAAAGAAGGAAGAAAATGTAA